TAAAACTATTCCCAATTTTGCATAATACAAAAAATAATACGAAAAAAACCCCCCAAAAAAGGGGCCTTTTTTTAAATTTCCCTTTGGGTCACTTTAACCCAATAACCCTTTTTCCCAGCTGATCCCAAAATTTCCAAATTTTTAAAAAATCAAATTCGTAGTATCAATTATAAAGGGGTGATTTTATGTTTGATAAATTTCGTTTGCTTTTTTCTGCAATTTTCAGTTTTAAAAGGGAAGTGCATTTAACTCCGAAAAAAATTAACACTGAACTGCACCTTTTCAGTGGGGGTGGGAAAAAACCCCATTTTTCCCCAAATTTCCCTTTCGGGCAAAAATTTTTTTTTAAAAACGACAATCTGTAAAAACCAAAACATAAATGGGGTGTTTTCTTCAAGGGTTTTTGGGTCAAATTTTACAACTTTTGAAAATTTGTAAAAACGTTTTAAAATCCAAATTTTCCTTAAAATTGTCAAAATATTTTTAGAAGGAAATGCTTAAAAAAACAAAAGGCATTCGTTTAGGGAAACCTGATAGGTTATTATAAAAATTTTTTTCCCTATAATCTGATCTTTAAAAAAAGTTCTTTCCCAAAAAAAAGTAAAGTTTCGGCGAAAGTTTTTAATTTGTACATTTTTTCAATCTCTGGATCGACCCTTACCATTATTGGTACATGACCGTGTTCTTTATATGATGCATGAAGTAAAAAAACAACAAAAGCAGAGTTTCTTTTAGAAAGGTGCAGCTTTCAACTTTATATTTTTTCGGGAAAAACCATCAATAGCTGCATGAATTGATATTCCAAATGGTTTTAAGTTTGTCATAATCATCGACATGAATTATTACGAAACGAAGTTTGGGCCTCGATTGAAGTTATTGTCTACGTCTAAATAGTCTTGCTTTTCCTGTTGACTACATCCACAAGGGTCTAACGTTTTAAGAAAAATCCTCAACTGTATTTTGATAAACTCTGATTCCATATCTTATAAACAACATTCTCCCAGCTGCTTGGTAACCTAGTCCGAATTCCCCTCTTGATGTACCTGTACTATTCCACGAGCAATATCCTCTGTGGTTGCTTTCTTCACGTCTACGCAAGTTCAAACGTTTAAGCATTATTTTTAATCTTGATTTTGGAAATAAACAATATGACGAACAAACAAAAACATTCCAGTCATAACCGAATACGCCATAATCTAAGTTTTTGAAAAGTTTTTGACAGAATCGTAATAAGCCTCTGCTCATCTGGTGTGGTACCATAGGACGATTTGATGAACGGCCACAAGAAGTATCTGAAAGTTATCAAAATGCAAATTTAACTATTAGAAATTTTTCACAGAAAACAGCATCATTGCATAACATTATTACCATACTTTTGCAAAGAATATTAGCTTATACTATTACAAAAATATATATAAAAATATCATATTACGACTAAACGACAACAACTATGATGACAACGAATACGACTAAAACGACGAATACTGCCACTGATACTACTACTCCTACCACTTAACTACTTCGGCTACTACCAAGACTAAAAATACTGCTACTACTACTACTCTGCTGCTACTGCTCTTAATATTGCCATTAATGCCAATACTACTGCAACGTAGACTGACGCTTTTTCAGGAATTTTAGAACAACAACAATCGACTCTTTCAAACAACTACACGTATATAAATAATAACACACAGAACTATGAACTTTCTAAAATGCAAATTTCAAAACTGTTTTGAACATCGAATGCGTAGTTTTCATGTGACATACTTTTGAATGTAGGTAACATCCGCCAAAACATTTGCTTAAAAGTGACCGCTATCAAAGTTGAAGTAAGAGAAATGTTTGAAAAGAATTGCTTATTATGGAACTTGATGTTAGAAATTTTAGTAATCAGTAATTTCTTTATGTTGTTCCTTCGAAGTACTCCTTTTTACTAGAAATGCATAATTTTAGTCGGTGGATCAATTTCCGGAATGCGTCACAGTATGTTGATTTGGGTATACCAGTAGGTAGATCCAAGTGTCTGTCTTGTGTGATATGTCCAGCAAGTATTTTTTTTAAATTTCGGAAGAAAATAATGTCGCAATGGGCAAGATACGGTGAATAAAAAGGGTGCAGTAAAACTATTACCTTTCTTCAGCAAACCTTTGCACTCAACGAGCGTTCTAGCAATAGTAGGCTTGTTGCTAGCTTTGATAGCCAATATTACATTTCCAATGTTTCGTAATTCAAATTAATGCACCCAAGTTTCATAATTTACAGCATTTGCAAATTTCTTTTTATCATATTTTGGAAGTATTTTGGTAAACTGTTTGGTTATTTTAACTCTTTGTTCTCATAGATTGCAGTTATCAAATTTTGATTTAAAAAAAATTGAAATGTAGAATTAAAGCATAAACTGTAAAAATCTTAGAAATATTTAATAGATATCCAAAAAAACAAGTGACATTTTCATTTATTTTCATGATACATTTTGAATGTATGTCTGTCTCTGTGGCCTAGTGGTCTTGGCGTTCACCTACGAAGAGGCAAGGTCGAAGTTCGTTATCCCACCTAGGTGGCTGAGGTAGTCGGTTGCTGTAAATGCCTCCCTCACATTATGTAGAAGAGAGGATTGGAGAGCTATTGTACGTGCGTGAAAATGTGTTTCATGAGCTTATAAAGCTGGCTATAGTTAACGAAGCCTTTACATTACCTTATAACGCTCTGCCCCTGGTATAACTCTAGCTGCGGACAGGGCCATTCTTTGCGTTGTAAGATAATGAGCTCTGTACCATAACGGAAACAAGAAGCGTTAAGCACCCAGGTAACCAAGTCCAAAAGCCACCATCCAAAGCTGAACCAAATACAGCAACATGGACCTCAAGTTTTTTTTCTAATTCTGAGAACTTATCCTGATACGACTATTTCTTTTATGAACTATGTACGTGGAAATGTAAACAAGTGTCCAAAAGCCTAAACATGGGTATTTTTAGCCATTAAAGGGCCCCCTATGTTTCAGTTATAAACCCTACTGACCCGGTCGTTCCGATATTTCTTGATCTCTTCCTTATACTTCTTCTTACCAGTTATACAAAACGATTTGTAGATATATGAACTTGCAGAAGTGTCCAAAAGCTCCAAATAGGCATTTTATGGCCATTGGTAAACTAGCTTTTTGGGGGTACTTGTAGAACTTTATCCAGACAACAGTAGCTAACTTTACTTAAAATATGTGAAAAATAGCAACCTAACCAGAAGTGACCGAAATATGGATATTTTTGTCTCCCTAAAGGGGGCCCATTGTTTCCTACTCAACATGTTCTTTTCCCGATAATTCCTAGTACTACCATACTAATAAATATTTTGGCCATTTGTAAAAGGTATGTAGAAAAAAAATAAACAAACTAAAGTGAACTAGAATCTCAAAAATAATATTTGGAGGGCCTTTTGACCCCAACTATTCAAAATTGCAGATTACTCTAAAAAAGTAATAAAGCCAAGCCAAGACCAAAATTACATGTTTTCCAAAAGATTACCTATTAGTGGTTTTATTATAGCTTAGGGTTCCGTTCAACTAGGCATATAGTGTTTGGGTTAAATGTCCCAAAATTTGCTATTTTTTTGCCTTTTATCATTTTTTTCTATTTCAAAGTCAAAATGTGACCCTGCATTTTAAACCCCAAAATAACCCCATTTTCTAACTTAAACTAGCTTTCATTAAGGAAAACAACTTCTGGGCAAATCAAAGTAAAAATGAAAACCGGAGGGGGAAAAGTAAAGTAAAAACCCCAGACAAAAATTAAGCACCCTGAAAAAACTTTTTAAGTGAAAACTAATTAAAGGGGTGTACCTCTACAAGTAAAAAACAAAGCTGCTACTACTTTTTAAAAGTAAAAACTGCCCTTTTTCTGGGCCCAAAGCTCTTCCTATCCCACAAACTTTTCCGCCATATACTTTCGCTAGTTCTACTAAATAATGTAATTTTAAAAGAAAAATAATGACAATAATAACATACCAATACTGTTAAAACTTTCTCCATGACTTCGATAAATATGCTGCCTCCTGTAGTATAATATGCCTGAATGCCACTATTTTATAAAAAAAACTCATTTACGAAATAACAGTCACCATGCGTGAAAAGGTAAGACGATGTCGACAAAAATATAGCGAAAAGCGGACTACACTTTAAGCATTGTGCAAACATTTTTTCATCAAATGAAATGTATTAGGGTAATGCGTCAAAAGTTGTTTCGACAAGGTGTAATGTATTAGGTATTCCGTCATAATTTTAATCGAGAAAGTGAAATCTATCACATATTGCGTCTACATTTATTTCGAAAAACAACTTTTATTAATTTCTCGTCATAAAAGTACTCGTCATGTGCCATGTTTCTTTTTTTGCAAGAAAACATTTGGCCAATTAACTCAACTTTTCTCGTTTATTCGAGTTATTTTTTTAGAAAACACTAAACATATCCTGCCTTCGCGCCTTATATTTTTTCGAATAGCGTAAATCTTCTCAAAAAAGATCGCGTAAGAGGTGACCCTTTGAAGCTTCCGTATTCAATAGCACAAAGTTACATGTACAACATGATATCAAGTCTATGCAACTACACTGTCAGGTAATTGTCAAGTCAAGTTAGGCATACGCGTAACAAGAACAACTTTCACAGATATAATTATTTGGCAAAGATGACTTTTCACGAACCATCACAATTATTGGGCATGAATGTTAAATTTGTGTTTTGTTACATAAACATATGTATCACTACTGTATTAAAAAAGTAGCATGATAGAGTCAATATTGACGAACATGTAAGACCATTTATACATGTACACTTACAGGATGTGTTAAGTATAATAACATTACTGTTCTCATACCTTTATTTACGATTAAGTCAATTTAGTACCTTTTTTTGTATTTACCTGTTTACTGTTTGACAAATTCAGTCAGATCACAAAATGACATTATCTTTTAGCAACATTTTACAAGTTATTTTTATACGTACGACTACCTTATTTTTTAATGGAGACCCATATACTCTGAGCAACAAATGATCTGTCAGGAGGTCCCCCGCTTTGGTCACATGTGTTGCTACAACATACACCTCTGGTATCATGTCGGCAGTTATTTCAAATCCTGTTTTAGTTCGTTTTTCATTTGCCACACCGGAAATAAGTGTCTTACGTAACACACCTCTTGCAAAGATCTGTGAAAAGGGGACTTTGTTAAAATGTAGGATGTTATTATATGATACATTTTAACATAAATCATAAATCATGGGCCTTTCAAAGTGATATCATATTTCTGTAAAAATAATTCACAGTGAACAATCTACCTTATTTCTAACAAAACAAAAAAACTTTCTTCTGCGCTTACAAAAACAATACAGTATAGTAGATAATAATACATCCTTATACATGTAGACATACATTTTCGTTGACTTTTCAAAAATACATTAACAAGAGAATATACAAGTATTTTTTTGAATCCTTGAGTCCTTGAAATTTTCTACAAACCTAGATTTAATCTAGTCAAGTGGAAATTATACTTATTGGTTTGTAACATTGGTTGCTTCCTCATATTAGTGATTCACGTCTCTTTTGTTAACTATATAAAAAATCTCAATAAAATATATAATTTGGGAAGAATCACTTATTTGATTACATTATGTAAGTTGAGGATTTGATTAAGGATTGATTATTTGAAATACCATCTATAATATCGAATCTTTAAAGTTACTAGTATATCAATTCGATACTAGTTTAGGGGCGCCCTGTGTCGAATGGTTTACTCTAAACCATTCGCCCCTCTACGGCTGTGAGTTCGACTCTCGACATGGACAATGGATTCTTTCATGTGAGGAAGCTATCCAGTTAGCTTGTACATTACAGGTGCCCGTTCGTGTCTGAAATTAACTAGAAAGTCGGCATATGACCTTTACAGTATTAGTGCGACGTTAATCTCCTGTCAAAAAAAAACAACACTAGTTTACCTCATAAGAAATCAAACCATCCAGATCACCAGAAGCTTCGGTCATGATTTCTAACCTTTGGCCAACCTGAAATATAATATATAAACTTGTAAACGCCGTGCCTTTCGCAACAATCGATCTTTCTGCTAAAACACGCATGACAAACTCAAACTTGTATAATTAAGAGTATATTGACAAATTATAAAAAAATGAAAACACAACTGAAAACGAAGCTGTAAAAAGTCACAATTTCACAAAAAATACTGAGCTTGAAAATCATAATATGTGCATTTGCATATATAGATATTTGTTCATTTACTCCTAAACTTAATATCAGGCTTGATTTGTATCCTACTGAATATAAACACAATACATTTCCTCTCTAAGGAACGATGCTAACGCTGCGACGAAAGAATACAGGACATTTCCAGTCTACTGAACGATGCGCACACTAAAACGGTATCCTATTGAATTACAATAGAAGACATTTTCAGTATACGAAACGATGCGCACACTACAACGCAGATACTGACAGAAAGATATCATGTCAATTATATAACCATATTCTAACATTAAGAAAATATTTCGTGCTGCTCCTTGTTTAATAAATGTTATAGAAATATCACTAACAGAGTTGCGTAAATTTACTTACTTGAACGTTTGTTTTATTAGTGTACATTCTGAGCAACAACACAGGCACGCTGGACACCGAGTAAAGTGTTACGTTCTTGTAAATAGTTTCATATCGCAACTGTAAAAATTATAGCAATGTTAAATGATTTAATAACCTTATTTATGAGCATCAACAGTTTCTTTCTTAGACTACGTTCTAAAGGCCTTCACAGACGCTATGATTTAGAAGTACAACAGATTACAAGCAGATTTTAATGTGCAAAGGCTACTAGTTCTAAAATTCGTAAACCTTAATACTAGATTTACAGGATAGAACATGTTTATTTTGTAAAACTTGTTGTACAGACCTCCAAGGATGGCAAATGACAGATTTCCTGACCCGATAATGTGTGCAATTAGTGAAATTCCAGAACAATTAGGACAAAAAAGTAAACATAGTAGTAAAGTGGAGTAAAGAGGATATTGAACAAGAATTGGGTAGCGAGATTTGTGGAATGTTCCAATCCCAAATACTCAAAAAAGTATTGTAAGCTAAAACGTTCTAAAACATGAACATGAAGACCAAACAATTCTTTGCACAGAGCAGGCTTATGGTGCTCAATTATTCCATTATTCCAGAGGTAATGTTCTATATCCTTGCTATTTACCACCGACAGAACCTTTTGTCTAGCTCATAAACAATCTCCTTAATTGGTCAATATCAACAATTATAACATTTGCAGATATTCCAGTATAAATACTGACGAAATTCTGCAAGGGATCTATTTGGTGGAAAATATTTTGAAGAGAAATATCATTATTCATATATTGTAGAATTACGGTCTTAATACAAGTATTGTTTGCTTTACGAGTATACCATAATTAATGTTGAACAACTAAAACCTACCGTCTGTTTAGGCTTTAACGGATGAACATGTGGAAAGCTGTTTGAAAAATATCTATACCTTTTGTCAAAAGCCGCCTACTTAGTTTTTTAATGAGTACATTTATCTTTAAAAAGATAGGTACATAAATGCAGCATAATTATTTTCAAATTATTCCGAGCTTTAATTTATGTTCTTGACGTTTGCAACTTTGAACATGTTCTCAAATTTTCCTGTTCCAGCTTATTAAATGGTAATCTACAAGTAATAGATGGACTGGGTTTTGATTATTATTAAATTATAATATGATATCATTGTCAGTCTAATATCGTAAAACATTAAAAAAACACAACCCTTTACAGGTTACTTCTTTCACCTGAAGCACTATTTTATCTGTATATTCGGCAACTGGGAAGCTAAGATCTGCATATCCTTCATTGTCAAACGGAATGTCAAAACTTTGAAGCGTTGTAGTCTTTAAGTCCAGCCATTTGGTAGATGGCTTGTTGAGGAGGCAGCTCTTTACTTCAGCAGTTGTAACCGTTGGGGTCACATTTATGACACCTGGCTTTCCAATTGGCCCATCATTATAACCAACAAATATCTAGGAAAAAGAAGGATAACTATAATTTGAATCACACCGTCGATGAATGAATTTAATAAAGACAAAATGATGTCCCTTTTCTTCTTTAGAATGGGCAAACATGGTTTATGTTTTAATAATATTTGAAGTACCGAAGTTTTGTCTTAGAAATAGCAAAAAGTAAAAAAAGTAGATTTTGAGTTCCATAAAATACTTTTGAATAACTGTAACTGTATTAATTGCCAATTGCAACAGAAGCAAAAAGATAGTTCAAGTAAGTCATTGAGTAACTTTTTGAAAACTATAACAGGACACAAAAAAGGGTTTTGAGAAATAAAAAAAAAATAGGGAATAAGTCATAGTTAATTTTCGTTTATGACAGCATTTCTGATTAAATCTTTTTACTATTTGCATAATTCCCGACGAAATCAAACGACTAACCTGTGTGTAGTAGGACATTCCAGGTATAAATGTGTCTCGTTTTTCCAGCTTTGAGATAGACAGATATCTGTTAATCGTCTGTGGACGTTGAGTAGGGTAGACATAATTTATCCAAAGATTCTCCTCAGTGCCAATGGTAAGAGTTGTTGCATTATCAGTCACCAAGGCTCGAACTATAAATGTGTCATATAGTGAAAATTGCCGACTAATGTCCGATATTGGGACCGTAAATGTTACTGATCCCTGCATCTGTAGAATTTGAGAGAAAAAAATATATGCTTTCGTCACAGAATCAATGCGGGTAAAATGGAATAATATATTCAAATCATTTCAAATAAAAATACTTCTGTGTTAAGTTCACCGGCCACATTCAAATATAAAAAATGTATCTGATCATTGAACAAAATGTATTTTATCTTGAATTGAACAAAATGTATTAAATATAACAGTGAACAAAAATGTATTGAATCTTATTGAACAATTATATCAAAATCTTACATTTAACAAAATGTGTTTGATCTTACATTGAACAAAATGTATAAAATCTTGAATTGAAGAAAATGAATTAAATCGTAAATTGAGCAAAATATATTGAACTTATATTAAACAAAATGTATTTGACTTTACATTGAAGAAAATGTATCAAATCCTACATTGAAGGAAATGTATTTGTTATAATGAGAATTTATAGCTCGTCTTTTTTCGTGTTATAAAAGTTCTTAAGTTTATATGAACAACACTCGAAGATTTTGTAACGTATCGGTATTCGGTTCGCCTTTAGTCAACCCATCTTGAAACCACAACATATTCTATTTTTACTATACAATGTTCAGTTTGTATTTTTTATAGATACGATATATAATGTTGATAGAGTGCATTATCAAAATGATATTAAAACTGCATGTAAAGGTGAAAACATTACACCTACATGTTTGTTGTATTCTAAAAAGTTATATATAGATGCTTTGGTATAAATTTGTAGTTTACAGTTTCCATAAACTTTCGCCCCAAACGTGAATCTGAAGGAAAAAAAAACATAAAAAATATAACGTATGCGGCATGTCTTATACTTTAATATGAAGGAACTGGACTGGAATAAGTGAAAATATAATTAGCAATGTAAAGTACAGGACAAGATATTGTTTAGTGTTGTGGCATGTACATGAGTGTATTATAATAACATAACATACAAGGAGAAATAAAGACAATCGACCCATAAGGAAAACAAACATACTGCAGAGAATAAGTACACTGAAATATTAAATTATATCACTTTGTTTAAACTGAATTACATTGTATTATTCTATATAAAAGTTAAAGTCTAAAGTCTGTGTTACGCAAAGTTTTATTTTTGTATGTGGAAAATATATTTATCACGGTCCTAATGGATGTGGAGAACGTAATACGAGCATAAATATGAGTAAATGAAACACCTTGAATGAAATCAGGCAGTCAACATATGATAAACATATGATTACTATAGACAACTTTAAAGCAAATTTTACAATGTCACAAATACCACTTACATATGAAGTAAACTTGTAACAAGTATATTCTTATCATTTCATTTCATTTATTTTTTTCTCTTGGCTTAAGTACAAGCCTATTGACACTATATTTCACAAAAAAATCTTTGTATCTTAAAAAATAATCTTACGATTTTTCATATCAAATCACTTACTTAGCTTTGACTGACACATTGACTGAAGCTGATTGGTACGGGATCTCTTTAGGTAACGCAATATCCACACTAAATCTAGGTATTGCTGAGTATATAAATACAGGCAACATGTACAATCATAATATTTTTAAGAATTTATTAAATTATTGGCTTCAATTTAACAAAATTAGTACAATTATTTTGATTTTGTCGCTGCATGAAGAAACCTAAATAAACTACATGTGTATATGTTGTTACATATGTAATCTTAATTGTGTAGTTAATTCAATTTTTAACCATAATTTTCTTGATGTTTTAAATCTAGTTTGTACTTATCTAATAAACGATCGCTCCGAAAATGGTAAAACTCTACCACTGAATGTTTAATAGACAAGACTGATTTTAAGAAAATATGAATGCTGGAGGCATTTTATAGTACAAGTAATATCTTGAGTGTTTTAACCTAATATGGGTATGCTGAAGACGATGAGGGTGGATACCAAGAAAATAAACTTGACATTGACCTTCAAAAGGTCAATTCAAAATGGCTGCTTAATAATACTAAAATAGGTCATTTAAACTATGATACAATATGATGCAATTAATTATTCTTGTCAAAATCAAATTATTATTCAATATGATCGGATTTTACTGAGATTGGCCACCAAATATAGCGATTATATGTCTAATGGCACAATTAACAGTATATACAGTACTGTTTTACTAGCGAGTTATAGTATAAGACTAAGATTTAAAAAAATCACTTTTAATGTTTTGTTTACTTGACTTATATTTAACAATAAACTTAGTTTATAAAATTAATATTACCAAAGAATAAATATTTCGTAATAACAAATTAATATTTCGTAATTACGAAATAATATTTCGTTATAACGAATTAATATACGTAATTACGGAATAATATTCCGTAATAACGAATCAATATTTCGTAATTAAGATTTTATTTTTCGTTAAAATGAAATAATATTTCTAATTGGGAATTATTATCTCGTAAAAACGAATTCAATTCAGGAAGAAAATGTGGAAAATGTCACTTCAGGTGTTCCGTAATTTTTACATTATTTGTAGCTATGATTTTTTTAAGTTGTTCTTTTTGTTTTCATATATTTTGCACTTATTATTTATGGTTTAAAATGAATATTTAAAAATGATTTTTGAAATGTCAAAAAATGTCATTTCAATGCCATAAACACAACACAAACCGACACAAAAAGTGTTTTAAAAAAATAAACTTTTACGTGAACTTTAAAAACAGTATTCTCACTCGTGGCCACGCCACTCGTGGAAATACTGTTTTTAAAGCCCACTCGATGAAATAAAATTTTATCTTACACACAAACAAACAAATGTCCTCTATATACTCCATATTAATTCTCGTAAACTTTACCAACGAAATCGAAGTGTAATCTAATATTTCAATTAGTGCTGTAATGTATTTATAATTGACAGGTCAATAAAATAAGACTATACAAAATAAGCAATGAGGCTGTGTATACAAACAAATGAACTATTGTTGTTCCAACATGCAAAAGCGGGATTAAGTATGCGCAAAACCATTACAAAATCTTTTTTCAAGGCGACATGTGACACATTATAAAATTTATCTATAAAATAAAAGATACCACCTTTGTTAAGCCTTTTCTCCAGAAACTAACTAAAGACATAATAATTACATAATTGCAAGTATTTAAAAAAAAATTAAGGCAGTACAAAATTTTAAGAATTTAAGCTTGTAATATGTTTATCCTACTTAAAACATTATCAGGATCAAAAACTCCTTTTGTAACCCAAATATCTACGACATCTTGGCTCTATCTCAATCTATGAAAGTTGTTTTCTGTCAATTTTCTGTACCTCAGGTTTATATATAAAAATGTGATAAATGAGTGTTGAGCAAACTAGGTTAAAAAATATCCAACCTACTTTTTAAATAACATTTCTGTCCCATTCTTTTATAAAATGTGTCACTTGCTGAAATGTTGAAATTAATAAAGAGCCGTTTTTCAGCACATTGTGAACATTACACATGTATGCTGCATGTAGGTTTTTTGTGTGTTGTTTTGTTTGTATTTGTTGTTTTCTGCCAAAAATAATATCTGCATAATTCATTTTTAGTTCAATTATAACTGCATTCAGGTATACGATGGATAATATTCGATTTATCCGCTAAAGGATTAAATCTTTTATTCAAATCTTACAACTTAACATTCTTTATTAGAACACCCCAGTAGGGCCTCAAAAAGAGTTGTCAGGGAAGACAACTTACACTTGAATATGTCATATATAAGGCAAAGCAAATTCTGGAAACGGTCTTTCGATCGTGGCTCACCATAGAAGAGGTAGACTAGTTTATCTTCGTTTAAAAAATCTAAAATTTACATTTCAAATCTTGAATCCCACCACAAACCCACCCGTTCAATTTCATTGTTTTTCTTTGTTTTTGCTTTCTTCCCTTTATATTTTCAGATGCACGTCATGGCTGGAACAAAAAGATATAGAAAAAGGAAAATGCTTATAATTCTCAGCGACCGTTATCGGAGCTGATCAATTTGTAAAACAAACATGTAAAGTGATTTCATCATCTGTACCTGTGTACCTTCAGTTGAAGCATGTGCTACCACGTTTTTGCAACCGTTGCCGGGGCAAAAACAGTTATAGTAAAGACATTTAGTAGTCTTAAATCGAAACACATAGACATTTCAATAGGTTAAATAATTAAAATGCTTTTATCCAGCCATGGCCATTTTCATGCCAACACGTTTTTGTTAATAAATACCAGTACGTTTTTTAAACTAATTTCTCTTTTCTTTTATTCCCAAGTTGTAATGTTTGAATAATCGTTAATATTAAAAAGTCATCTTAAACTTTATCACATTCTTAACAAAAATACAGAAAACAACAAATGTTTACCATCTTGTTTACAAGTAAGTGACTATTTAATTTGAAATTTAAAGTTAAAGTTAGAAACAACAACAACAAAAACAACACCATATTTTCATCGAGTCATAAAATGCCTGAAACCGGGATATTGCTACGTTTGCTTGCTATGCCATGGCAGCTCTCGAAAATTTGGAATTCAGTCACGGTTTTGAGAAAATTCTACAAAAAGATTATACATTAGAATTCCGGGTACCCTCCAATGAATTTCCAGGATATCTTAAAAGTAACAGCAAAGTTATCAATAAAAATACTACTTGTTAAAAATGGAGTAATATTTTCTTTGACCATATATAAAAGTCACGTGGGTTGGCTACATAATAGAGGTGTTAAAATATAATTGTAATACACCCTTTGTTAGCCATTGAAATAGATGTATAAAGGATTTTCAAAAATGGTTATTATTCAGAGCGGGCGCTATGGTGCAGTGGTATCACTGTCTGCCTACAAATCAAGGGGTCTTGAGTTCGATCCCCCGCTACTCCACTGAACGAATAAATGACTACAATACTGACAAAACCAGGACATAGACACAGGATGACGGCAACGATAGAAACAAGAGAAGACCTTAACGGAACAGGAAACAAGTACCGAAAGTACAAGACCGAAGACGACGACCGATAACAGAAGGGAGAACGGAGACAAGAATTGACAACAAGAAAACGGAGACCACGACTGGTTGCAGAAGAAAAGAGACGGGAACCGATGACAGAAGAACGGAGAAAAAACGAAGACAAGAACCGATAACAGAACAGGACAGGGACCGATAACAGAAGAACTGACAATAAAAACAACAACAAAGAGAGACGAATACCGATAACAGAATACCATACACGATAACTGAATACAGAAGGATGAAGACGGGGATCGATAACAGAGACGACAACCCATGACACAAGAGTTGACAACAAGAAAACGGAGACCAGGACTAATAGAAGAGACGAGAACCGATAACAGAAGAACGGAGGTGAAAGAAGACAAGAACCAAAGACTGATAACAGAAAAACTGACAACTGACGGAGACGAGCATTGATAACAGAAAAATAGACGAAGACCGATAACAGAATAACATAGACGATAACTGAAGACAGGGATCGATAACAGAGACGGAAACCGATGACAAAAGAAAGAAGAAAAACGAGACAGGGACCGATAACAGAAGACTTGACAACAAGACAGCGGAGACGAGGATTGATAACAGAAAAATAGAAGAGGACCGATAACAGAATAACATAAACGAGGACTGATGACAGAAGAATGAATACGAGAACCGATAACAAAACATCTAACAACAAAAGAACTGAGATCAGGACCGATTTCAGAAGAAGACAACAAGAGAACTGCGACGAGGACCAAAAACTGAAAACCAAAAATCACAACCAATAAGAAGACAGCAGAGAAACGCGACGAGAATCGATAACAGAAGGACGAAGACGACGACCGATAACAGAAACACGTTCAACAAAACCCAAGAGTACTCAGAGATAGGTGCCTTTAATTAATGTATATTTTTCATGCACACGTTTTAACCCCTCACACATACGCACGCTGTGCAAATATAAGTAGGCATCTGAGTACCAGATAAAATTCATGAAAGCTCTATATCTAGCAGATAGGGCAGGAAAGAGTGTGGTGTTCGCTTTGTAAATGCCTTAAAGTTTTCAGTACTATCTTTAAATATTACTTCTATATTAGTATTATATTGCCCTATAGAAAAATGTCTGCCATCTTGGATTTTTCGGCCATATTGGATTGTTTTGAGTTTTTTTAATTCTGTTTTGGTGTCTAATTTGTTTTAAGCTAAACATGCTTTGTGACAAATTTCAGGCTTTTCCTTTCCTTAAAATTTTTATTTGATATATCATCCATTTATGATTTTGGAGAGATTTTGAAAAAATTTGGCGGTCATTTTAGTGGTCATTTTAAATGGCCATTTCAATGGTCAAGATCAAGTTTTTCAATTTGGTATCCACCTTTACCGGATTCAGCATACCTTTAATAGGTAAAATACACCGAGATACCACTTGTACTACAAAATGCCTCTAGCATCTTATTGGGAGCCAAATTCTCAAAATCAGTCCTGTCTATAAACTTAAACCGTGTCATGGTTTGGTATACGAATACTGCAAATGTATTTTTTTGCATTATGACGAGTCCAAATGTTCATTACACTTACCATAGTCGTTAACTTCGAAATGCTTCGTTAACTTTTTCGTCTAAAAAATAAAGATACAAACAAATATTGTTGCATCATTAAATTCGGTTATTTAATAACAATAACATAGTCTTAATTGTTCCACCTTGGCATAATCCAAATGATAACGACTTTGTTTATGCACAATTTGCATTGTGAATGTCGCGTATGTAATATAACCAGTGACGCATCCAGCATTGTAGCGTCGCATTTATAAGCCATTATAAGTGTCACATTCGGCATTATTAGTGTCGCCTGCGTCATTACGGGTGTCGGCATTATGAGTTATGTATAAGTCGTAATGAGTGACACAGCTGGGATTGTGAGTGTCCCATCCGGCATTGTGAGTGTCGCAAAATTCATTAAGAGTGTTGCATGCGTCATTTAGAGTTTCGCACCCAGTAGCGAGAATCGGTGGGATGAAATCCCCGAGCAATTAACGAGTGATTCTACGAAGCACACTCGAAATTTATGATGGTCTCCAAATACGAGAAATGTGAAACTAGTTTTAAATACAGCAATAATGCAGATATGTGAGTAACATAAAGCAAGGGTAATTTGATATTTAGCCTAACTATGAAGAGTCTCAGTTTTTCATCACAAATAACTCATTTAGCATACTTATATGGCTATATTTGCATTAACATATAATTATTTCCAGACATTATTATTTAAAGTTAATAATAAAAAAATCTGATAGCTTCATTAGTTATTTACCTGAACAAAACAGAATAGAACATATTTACCGCAGCATTGATATCGATAGACCAAGTACCAAAAACTGGTTCCCTGCTTAACTGTAGGCGACCTGTGATTACGCCATCTTTCGGTATTAAATTTTCTCTAACTTCAATTTTGTTGTTTTTCCCATCCTAAAGAAGACAAAATTAGTGTCCACCATTTAATCATTTACTTTGAGAAACACAATTTCTATTTACAGTATTAATTTATATCAGAATTTATTTACATCTTAATCTTGTAGCACTTACATATTTGTACATTACATTTGTATCTGATCTTTAAAAAATAAAACTGGAGGAGGAAGACTTCAGGTGTCCCTCTGTGCATTTTTTCAGGCACGAACGGACACTTGAGTAGAACCACTGACCTTCCGCAAGATAGCTGTATAGTTTCCTCACATGAAAGAATCCAAAGTCCCTGACGGTATTCGAACCTACAGCGGTGAGGGGCAAGTGACAACGCAAATTTTGTTCAAATTCTTCTTTAACGTCTTTCTTCCCCATTATTCAAAATAAAAAAAAAAGATTAAGAAGGTTGATCAATATTGAGTTTTTATTACATGATTGGGAAATATATATAAAATGTATATATAGATTTGTTGTAAATACTAATTCACATATCGTATAATCCAGTTTGGATGGCGAGCAAGCTTATATTATATACTTTTAAATGAGAAACTTCGAGGCATCGTGGTGCGGAAAATACCGTATTGTTTAATATTTAACCAACACCAAACTGACGGTTTAAAGAAAAAAAAATGGTTTTAATGAACTTATCAATTGTAACCATGGTCCACACCCCGTTCACACATACGGAGTTTTTGACTTTTGAATTACCAAATATAACGTAAAAGTCTAGCTTGTGGCGACAATCAGATAATTAGTAAAGTCCCAGCTAAAAACAGACATATAACAAGCTGGAGTCAATGCTGGGACAAACTAACTAAATCACACTACATTTCCGGCACCAGTCATGACAAATTGCTGCAGTGTTAAAAAATCTAAACATTGCTGATTTCTACAGGTATATAAGTAAGTTTATATTGGTGGTTTACAAGAGGTACCATACATACACGAATTATAACTGTGGCAAGACCTTTGTATCCAAAGAGGTTCCGGTGTAATAATATCGCCCGGTATTTCACTGAAACATAATCATGTTTATTAAGATATAAGATGTATAACTAATGATTTTAATTTTAGTTGCTTGTTTATTTTGTTTCGTTTAAACTGAAACTGTACAAAATTAAATGAAAACATGTTCAGAATTTAATTAAGAAACATTAATTGGCTTCACCGCTCGTACTTTAAACTGCATTTTGCCGTTCATGAAACGTGCATAAAAACTGATAAAAAAAGATTTTACTTGGTATTAATATTTTGTTGATATATTTTGATTTTTTAATTTTATGTATATTATTCCTATATACGAGTACATACCCTTTGAGATGTTATTGTAAATGGTTCATTGTAATATAATATTGTAACATTCTTAGCCTTGTTTTTAAAAAATTGGCCTAGTTTCACTGTGCAACCAGAGTGAAAATCAGACATGGCTGACAATTCGGAATCACCTTAGACGAAATGTAAGAAAATATTAGTCATTTTAGTACATGTATTTTTGTAATTTTTAGTACAAAAATAAAAAATAGTACATGTATTTACATGTATTTTATTAAAGATTAATTGATATGTTTGTTCCTTAGGCAGGGTTTTTTGTTTAAAAAGGTCCCCATTTGTAATATTAAAATACAAATGTATAAGAAAATGAGAGAAAAGGGAACAGATAAGTTCTTACCCTCTTGTGTGGCTGAATAAATTGTTTTATCCGTCTGTATGAAGATATGAAGATTGTCATCTACATAATTTATTCTAGACTCGGCACTGAACGATACACCACCAGAACCGTTAACTAGAACTTTATATTGCGACATTTGTATATTTTCTGGTACCTTCAAATAGCAAATATCTCTGTTTATTCTCCTAAATTAAAAAACTTTTGAGGGTTTTTTTTCACCTCATTTTGGAAATGTATATTAAAAATCCACATTTGCCGAGTTTCGGACACACTAACGTCTGTTTGTTATTGTAATGTCTAATGAACTTTTTGCATTATAAATGACTTTACAGGAAAGAAACAAATTATAAAAGAATAACATACGTTTCTGCAGAACAATGGTAAGCAAATGAAATAAGTATTCTATTTCCATTACCTTGATTGACAAAATACTTGGAATACCTAGATAAAATGATAAAATATATAAAATATACATGTGTATTTTTTTGAAAAGCTAAATCTTTCTTAAGGATAAAAGGGATGAAACGATCAAGCAAAGTTCGAACTTTCTACAGTCATCAAACATGAGTCGCCATTTTCTCTGCTGTGACATAAAATTTTGATCACGATCTCTAAAAAACAGACTGTTCTTTTAGATGAATACTTAAAACAATTGGCCAGAATATGCATTATTAAAGTTTGAATGAACAAATGTGTTATAGTTCTTTTCGTGCTCAGTATCTAAAGTTTTAAGTCCATACGTGTTTTGGAATATATAAAGTATTCCAGGACCAAACAGGTATGTTTTCATATATAATGATAAAGTTACAAATGTCTTTTTTATAAATCAACAAATTCAGAATAAAAAAGTATCAATGGATAATGTAACGTCGCGCGAGGAACTTCATCACGAATTCGCTGCCTAATGTAACTAATACATTTTTTCTTTTGTATAATTTTTTATAAGCGTAAATGCTTTACCGTTCCAAACATCATTTTGAGTTGTTAATATTGTTGAATCGTTATATGAATAACATAACGACGCAACAACATTGACTGGTCCTGTTGCCTTGACAACAATCACCCTGATGTTTAGCTCCTCGCCGGGAATTAGCGAGTCTGGAAATGTGACTTCGTATGATCTAAAAATAAATATAAATTATATATACTCTAGAAACACCGTTTAAGAGACAAATATTTTGATTGTTGCTCTTGAAAGATTAAATTAATTATGAAGCTTTATTTAGAAAATAATTTATACTTTTGTTACATAGAAGTATCACTATGTATACAGAGGATCGCACTGCAGAAGTTGTACTTAAGTATAAAGTTTATTTTAATGATTAATAACATGCAAATAGTATGATCATAATGTTTAGGCCGTCTTATTAAAGAAAGAGATGAAATCTATGGGCTAAACAAACAAAAAGGTAGGTATGAAGAAAGAATCGGCAACGCGTTGGGCAGCGTCGGTTACCGAATCCGAATATTTTATACTTCAGGTGGAAAGGATGTTAAAGTGACGTTATCGGTATTGGATTCCATTCCAGACTGGGTCAACGAATTTTCAAAAAGATACGGCCTTTTTCAATGATAAAATTCATAGTAATGATCATTATAATATTGACATACCACAATAACTATAACTGATATAAACATCTTCAGTTCTCTGGTTCTCTATAAGACATCCTAGAAAGGTTCTTATTTTCACATAAATATACCAACTCTTGTTCTGTGTATAAATCTACATATCTACATATTTTTTTCCATAATATATAAATTAAATTACTGACTTTGTATCATATTTTATAAATAAGGACGTATTTGAGTTTAAATACTTACCCAGCATTTGAAACAGAAATAATCATACAAATGACAAGTAAATCACCAATCATTTTCTTATATCTCTTATGAATGTCCTACGAAATTTTCGTCCTATATAAATTCACATTTGTAATGTTAATAAGATAAGAGAATGTTAATCAGAATGCCTAAAATTTGTTCTATAATTTAAATTTTATAGGACAGACATAGATGATAGCATTGCAAGGGTGAAAGATAACTGAAACAAAGCTAAACAATTGATCAGAGTAAAGTCTTCATGTAAAAAATAAAGTTTAATATTTTTCGAAAAAAAAAATATAGCTTTTTTTCCTCTGTCAAAAGTGCATTCACTTTTTCAGTCATTTCAACAACTTCTAGGTCTTTGAAAAAAAAATTCACCAGCCTTCAGAAACACGTACCCGTACACATTACCCGTACACATTACCTACATTTCTTCCAACCTTTCGATGTCATAATGAATGTGAATAATGGAAGGTCTGTAAAATTACAAATAAGTACCTTAAAAGTTATTTTATAATCAGAAAATTTAACAATTCACGAATATTTCTTCTATATCATAATGCTCATATTTTGTCATACTCGGCAGAAATTCTCAAATGTATATGTTGAGAGATAAATGATCAAAAATGAAATATTTTAAAAGTTTCTTTGTAATGTTTGGTTGCAATGGTTTTACTGTTTAAAGCGTTATCCGTACATGTCGTACTCGCAGAGAACTGTTGATATCGTTACTGGAATTTTAAGTCATGCAAACTTTTATACTAGTAGTTTATTTCTCTCCAACAATAACATGTAGGAAGCCACTGCTTGAACTAATAAATGACAAAATGATAGGTTAAGACAATATACTAAGACTTCAAAACATATGCTATTTGGACTTATTTCATTTTCATTGAAAATTGTTGTCCAAGTACATCCAAATTCTTGCAAAACTTTAACAGGGTCAGCAGTTCCCTTCGCATGTAGACTATGAAAGCATAAACTTGATTATATCAACAGGAGGGTCAGTGATCGCATGTGTCGCCTGGTGACAGCCAATTACGCAATGTATTGAGGGGTGATTGACCAGTTTGTTCTTATAAGTTGCAGCTACTTTGTAGCAAGTTGTGGAGATATAAATATCATTAACAGGCCAAAACGCCCTTTTAATTCAATGGCCATGACTCAGTAAATAATCATTTAATCCGAAAACCCAGGTAATATGCGTCAGTACTTAGATACCGACCAGTCCTGTAAGATTTCATTCGCATTGCTTTATCTGGTATAAGAGAAGAAGTCCGGACAAACTTTAAAAAATAAAAATCATTAAAGAACCATAATACTGACAAAAATCATTGGACTGGAAAATGCCGATTATTCCTGTGACGTTTACATGAAATTGCACGAGTAAAGTACTCCGGTCCGGACAAATTTTGTGAGAGACGGACTGACAGACAGACTGACAGACGGGCGTTATGTGGCTACTCTATTATTCTCTCTGTATTCTTTTTAGTCACAGAAAAGCCTTACAGAATGAATGACACCCAAAAGAAAGTACAGTTACCTATTGTTCCTCTGGCCACCCAAGTATCCGAATGTAAGCTGGGACACACAGACAATGGAGGAGTGATCAATATATGTTGTCGGTACTACTCTGTAGCAGGCAACACAAACATTTCAAGATGTATTAATCACATTGTATGTATATAATATAACTGTCGTCGACATATCCGACTGTTGTTTGGTTTTTTAAGTGAATACCAGTTCATTGTTGCCCCAAACTTGAGAAATATATTTTTTTAAATTCCAGAAACTTGTCGATTAACAAATTCTGGTAAATTCAGGAACCAGAAGCGTGGTAAGTCAGATGTTATACATGATTGATAGCCAAACATAATTATGTCAACTCGTATTTTGGCTTCAAAGCATCACATCATTCACTTAGAAGTGGAAGAGCTGATGTAAATTAAAATCTCTATATATGTTCATCCTGCACAATCCCGCAATGGGGAACAATGGTTGAAACTGACTGGTGTAAAAGTCCCCTACATACTAGTAGTGTATGTATACAATTATTATAATTTTAATGCTCCAAGGGCAAGTATAATTATGTCTAACATGATAGTGCCTTCATAAAATCAAGTGTAGATGAACAAATAGAAATCACAAAAGCTAACTGATAAGCATAATTGTACTCTGATGTGGTCTGGAAAGTTGCTGTTTGACCAGTCTGTCCACTCTCTTTCCTGTTTGGTAGCTGAAAATTGTGTACATGTACTGCTTAAAGGAACTCCATTGAGGGCCCTAAAACATAAATTTAAAATTCTTACTGTCTCATAAGATCCACTGAGGAGATAATACAAAAGATAATTATAAATACATCAAGAAATTGAATTTTTGTATGCTCTTTTTATTTTACCCAATCTGACAGCAAAAATTTGAATGAAAAGCGCTGTTATGCTTTTTAATTTTGGATCAATTTTCACAATTATTCTGGGAAAACGAAGTGAGTAATGATCTGCAATTGCGCACACATTATTTTTCTAGACCTACATCAAATGAAACTAGAACTATCACTAAATGTGATTAAACCCCCCCCCCCGCAAGACTGCTTCGAAAATGAGGAAGTTACTAGTAACAGAATACCTTGTAAAAGAATTGAAAATAGAGTTATGGTTGTGGGCAATTAAAGATAGATGTGGTTTTTGTACGTTGCATTTCCTTTCACTGTGGTTGACCATTGATGAAGTTTTATTGAGTAACTCTGTAATAAGTCCAGATAGAGTTACGGTTCTTGAGTACTACACTTCCCCTTATTGTGCTTGACCACTGAATGAAGTTGCATTGAATTCAAACCATTATTTTCAATTTATGCACTGGACAAGAAAAAGTAATGAAGGGCCATAACTCTGTGTTGAGTCAAGATGGAGTTATGGTTCTTGTGCACTTTTTCTCAATGTACTTGACCATTGTATGAAGATATATTTAATTCCAATTAGCGCTTTTCAAGTTATGCTCCAGACTAAAAAATGCAACGGAAAAGTAACAAAGGGCAATAACTCTATAATAACTTTAGATAGTGGTATGGTTCTAGTGCACTGCACTTCCTATTATTGTGCGAAGTTGTTTTGAATTCCAATTAATACGTTTCTAGCTATGTTCCGGACAAAAAAGTATCTAAAGGCAATAACTCTGTAATTAGTCAAAATGGAGTTATGGTTCTTGTGCACTGCACTTCCTCTCAATGTGCTTGACCATTGTATGAAGTTGTATTGAATTCCAAATAGTGGTTTTCAAGTTATACTCCGGACAAGAAACAAGAGCTGTCGGTAGGACAGCAACGCTCGACTATTCTTAGTGCTTGATAGTAAAAAAAAATGCTTGATACAGTTACCTCCTCCTGTTTACAGGTCGGGGTCATGATGGTGAACAAGTGTGCAAAGTTTCAAAGCCATATGTCAATGGACTTTGAAAATATTTGAACTATTACAAAAACTTTAACGTAAATTCTAAGTCGAAAAAGGGGCATAATTCTGTCAAAATGCTTGATAGAGTTACCTCCTCCTGTCTACAGGTTGGGGTCATGATGGTGAACAAGTGTGCAAAGTTTCAAAGCCATATGTCAATTGACTTTGAAAATATTTGAACTATTACAAAAACTTTAACGTAAATTCTAAGTCGAAAAAGGGGCATAATTCTGTCAAAATGCTTGATAGAGTTACCTCCTCCTGTCTACAGGTTGGGGTCATGATGGTGAACAAGTGTGCAAAGTTTCAAAGCCATATGTCAATGGACTTTGAAAATATTTGAACTATTACAAAGACTTTAACGTAAATTCTAAGTCGAAAAAGGGGCATAATTCTGTCAAAATGCTTGATAGAGTTACCTCCTCCTGTCTACAGGTTGGGGTCATGATGGTGAACAAGTGTGCAAAGTTTCAAAGCCATATGTCAATGGACTTTGAAAACATTTGAACTATTACAAAAACTTTAACATAAGTGGTTACGCCGACGCCCGGGTGACTGCAATAGCTCTACTTATTCTTATCGAATAGTCGAGCTAAAAAGCATTGGAAAAGTAACAAAGGGCAATAACTCTGTAAATACTTTAGGTAGAGTGATGGTTGTTGTGCACTGCACAACACCTTATTGTGCTTGACCATTGTATGAAATTGTTTGAATTCCAACCAGTAGCTTTCAAGTTATGCTCCGGACAAGGAAAAGTAACAAAGGGCAATAACTCTGTAAATACTTTAGGTAGAGTGATGGTTGTTACGCACTGCACTTCACCTTATTGTGCTTGGCCATTGTATGAAATTGTTTTGAATTCCAACCAGTAGCTTTCAAGTTATGCTCCGGACAAGAAAAAGTAACAAAGGGCAATAACTTAGTAATAAGTCAAGATGGAGTTATGGTTCTTGTGCACTGCACTTCCTCTCAATGTCCTTGACCATTGTATGAAGTTGTATTGAATTCCAACCAGTAGCTTTCAAGTTATGCTCCGGACAAGGAAAAGTAACAAAGACGCAACAGACCACTGGACCAACAGACTCCCCCCTACCCCCGAAAACTTCGATTCAGGGGTATAACTAGATGCCCAAGGGCCACTGTCACATTAAAACATAGACCTTAGACCTAGCCACAAAGTTTTGAGCATGACAAGCTGTCGCATTATGATTATTTTCAACATTTAACAGTTTTAAGCATTTGACCTTAAAGTATTACCTTGACCTAGCCACATAGTTCTTGCACACAACAAACCAACCATCTCATTGTCAACATTTAAAACTTTAAAAATTATTTCCAGTCCCGTCATGTCATAATACCTTAGTGGAGTCCCTTAAAACTCTTAAGATTCAAAGCAGGCCAAAACCATTACAAAATTTTCTCAGATATATACAATGAAATAAAAGATCACTAAAACAAACTTATTATATTGCTTTATTTTTTTTTTTCATTTGACATTGTTGTACAAACAGGACAACAATAACATGGCAATTTTATTTACATAATATATAAATGTATTAATGTAACAGTATTGTTACTGGTAACAAAAGTTAATGGCATGAAATTATACATCAATAAATACCTAGTATTTCATATTCATATACACATTTTGTACCACTTTTAACACAAACAATTATAACATTCACTTCATAGAGTCAAAACCTCACATACAAATAGCACTAAATGAATGGTTGTTCATAATTAAACTTAACAATAAACTTGTTGGTGGTACTAGACAATTTCACTGTTTGACCAGAGTAGTAAATTAATCAACTGCCGGAATACAAAGTCGAAAAAGGCTGTACAAGATCCGTCAATCTAGCCAGAACTTTAGTGATATCAATGGTGGACTCACAAGGCAAAATATGAAACCAATAGATTACCTATAGTTTAGACTAATGTATCATCATATTGAATTTTTAACAACTGACCCCCTTTCCCAAAGTTGGCTTCAAACACTATCATTATCAACATTGTCATCATCATAATTATCAATGTTGTTACGTTTATCACCTTCTAATAAGAAGACAACTTTTTCATCTACTGTACATTATATTTCTAATACATTAAATTTGAGCACATCATTCCAAAATGAGCACTTTTAATCAAAATAGAGCATTATCATCATGTAAGAATACTTGATATTTTTTTTCTAGCGGCAAGATATTTCCGTACTCACAAAATTAGTACATTTTATTAAGTATTTTGCACTACAAAAATACTGAAATATACTTTGAATTTGTTGTAACATATCATATACAGCAAAATATTACTTATTGCACAAAAGCACTAGCACTTTTCAAAATTCACCATTTCTGGCTTCTATTATCAATAATGACACAAAACCTGCGTATCTTCAGTTTTGATTTATAAAAAAAATTCTGAAGTCTCAAAGTTTTGTTGTTGTTTTTTTTTGCACCAAGGTATTGAATTGGGACATGACTGACTGGTTTGTCTTTCACAACCTTGCTTTAAGAAAAGTAACTTTGGTTCCAGTATTAGACCTGGCATGTAATGGACCAAGAAAAAACATCAAGAAAATCAACTCATGTTATTAATGGCACTGGTCCTTAAATTGGCACTAGTGCAGACAATTCTCTACGATACATGTAAAAAATAAACTTGTGTCCAAAATTTTTTTTTAATACCCATGTACTTAAAAGAACTAATTTTTTTCCCTTTCAATCATGTTTTATTTTTTTGATCTCTATTCCCTTTGTGAAAAATACCTTACATGTACATCTACATCCAAATCTCAACTTTTTATGGTAAGAACATTTTTATAATAGCTAATTTATGAAATTAATTGTTATGTAATAGTGATTTTTCTCAATTAGGAAGAGGCCTTAGCCTCTTGATTTTGGGAAAAATTATCGAAAAAATTGCTGATTTGGGAAGTAAAAAAGCTGGTTTAAGTTCAGATTTTTGGGAAAACTCCATGATTTTAAAGAAAATTTCAATTGGGAAGAGGCCTTTTTTCGGAGTCTGTTATATAAGTAGGAAAATCACTGTAACATACCAATCTACATTGTCTAATAATAACAATAATTACAAAAAGCTAGCCTACATCTTGAGACACAAGATTTCTGTCAAGATAATTTTAAATATTCACTTGCACAAGGTGTATACTTTGCAACCCCCCCCCAAAAAAAACAAACAAAGTCAGACACTTTTACTTATTTTCCATGACATATTATGGTTTTAATGGTAGATATTTAAAACAATAAATAAACAAGCATATTTTCAGGCATTGTGATAAACAGAAAAATAAACAAAATATAATAATGAAGGGACTAAGTAACTTTTTAGCATATTATTTTATAAAATACTTCCAATTCTCGACTATTTCTAGATGTTAATGTTGTATGAAATTTGTTTTAAAGAAATCATGACAACTGCAAAATAAAAATCAATCATAATTTTTGCATGTGCCTTTTTTTCATTTAATATTATTTTAACCATTTCAACAAAAAATATTTTTGTATCAGTTTTGAATATATAACATGTATATAACCCGTCCTCTATAAACTCTATTTGGCTTTATCCTGGATTAGACCCCAGCTTGTTAGGTTTCAAACTAAAATACTTGATACAAGACTTAGATAATCAACTTTCTATTGCACTCTTGGAAAAGATACATACATGATCTAAATATATATGAATGAAGCAAATTTAAGGTGTATGGGGGGGGTTCTAAAATCTCTTGTATTCCCATACAGGTATGATGACAACATAGGAAACCAACCTTTTACACTAGGTAGAATTTTATGAAATGTATAGTTTGTGATAGCCCCAGGTCTTGATATATCAAACTTGCAGTCCAAACAAGCGCTTCTTTCAATGGACACCAAGCTCCCCTATTACCTAATACCCTGGTGACCTCTAAGTGGATATGGCAGTTAGAAGAACTCGTGAAGGTGCAAGCACCTGTGAAGTTTGGGGGCAGTATGTGGGAGGACTTTGATGATATAGTCAGTGAAATTTTTGTGACAAATATACAAATCAAAACCAGTAAGCCGCAAATTCATCCTATGGGGCTTTTATGAATCTAAAGAACATTTACTCTACTCAAATATGTCAGAAACTTCATTTTCCTTGTTATTTTTCTATTCCTAAAACTTTAAGATGTTCCTGAAGGCAATTCTATTATACATTCAAAGTTGTGAAAAATTATATCTACTTACAGATTATGGTTTCTGTGGCTATTACAGGAATAATATCTCAAAAACAAATTAATATGGGAAACAATGAAAATACTGCTGGAATGATGAAAGTAACAACTGATAGTACAATATATCTAGACAAATACTCATTTTAATTGTATTTTGCACCAAAATTGCATACAAAGAACATTCAATAGGTAAATCAAAAAAAAAAATTGGCATTTTTTAGCTGAATATATGCTGTTTAAAATGATCTAATCTAAGTGATGGAAACTAATAAATCTAACGTAAAAATCAAATGGCAACAATGATACGGGGTAGTAAAAACCTATTCCGCTCAGAACCTAATGCAAGATTTGATCTGTTTCAATGCTGTTGCTTACAGGTCTGTACATTGAAACTTTAACAAATAATAATTACTTATCAACAAGAAGAGTATCTAAACATTAGATCTAGCACTTTGCTTTATATATTTAGCACTGAAGACCATCTTGGAATTTATCTACGTAAAACTTTATGAAGTGAAAATCTGCATATCAGTTCTCATGATCCTATATTATTTTGAAGTTGGATGAAGACAAAGTTTTTCTTCAAGTCAGAGACTCGGTGTCTTCACTGTATATTATTTCAATTAAAATATGACTGAAACTCTATTAATGTGACACTAGGCTCATTTTGTCACTGTCAAGTTAAGTTGAATTAACTGTACATTTCAGAAGATTTACTATTATGAAAACAACAATGGCAAAATGTTAAGTTATTTTGAGTTTTCCGGTGTATCATAAACAACAAGAGCTGTCGGTAGGACAGCATGCTCGACTATTCTTAGTGCTTGATAGTAAAAAAAATGCCTGATACAGTTACCTCCTCCTGTTTACAGGTTGGGGTCATGATGGTGAACAAGTGTGCAAAGTTTCAAAGCCATATGTCAATGGACTTTGAAAATATTTGAACTATTACAAAAACTTTAACGTAAATTCTAAGTCGAAAAAGGGGCATAATTCTGTCAAAATGCTTGATAGAGTTACCTCCTCCTGTTTACAGGTTGGGGTCATGATGTTGAACAAGTGTGCAAAGTTTCAAAGCCATATGTCAATGGACTTTGAAAATATTTGAACTATTACAAAAACTTTAACGTAAATTCTAAGTCGAAAAAGGGGCATAATTCTGTCAAAATGCTTAATAGAGTTACCTCCTGCTGTCTACAGGTTGGGGTCATGATGTTGAACAAGTGTGCAAAGTTTCAAAGCCATATGTCTATGGACTTTGAAAATATTTGAACTATTACAAAACTTTAACGTAAATTCTAAGTCGAAAAAGGGGCATAATTCTGTCAAAATGCTTGATAGAGTTACCTCCTCCTGTCTACAGGTTGGGGTCATGATGGTGAACAAGTGTGCAAAGTTTGAAAGCCATATGTCAATGGACTTTGAAAATATTTGAACTATTACAAAAACTTTAACGTAAATTCTAAGTCGAAAAAGGGGCATAATTCTGTCAAAATGCTTGATAGAGTTACCTCCTCCTGTCTACAGGTTGGGGTCATGATGGTGAACAAGTGTGCAAAGTTTGAAAGCCATATGTCAATGGACTTTGAAAATATTTGAACTATTACAAAAACTTTAACGTAAATTCTAAGTCGAAAAAGGGGCATAATTCTGTCAAAATGCTTGATAGAGTTACCTCCTCCTGTTTACAGGTTGGGGTCATGATGTTGAACAAGTGTGCAAAGTTTCAAAGCCATATGTCAATGGACTTTGAAAATATTTGAACTATTACAAAAACTTTAACGTAAATTCTAAGTCGAAAAAGGGGCATAATTCTGTCAAAATGCTTAATAGAGTTACCTCCTGCTGTCTACAGGTTGGGGTCATGATGTTGAACAAGTGTGCAAAGTTTCAAAGCCATATGTCTATGGACTTTGAAAATATTTGAACTATTACAAAAACTTTAACGTAAATTCTAAGTCGAAAAAGGGGCATAATTCTGTCAAAATGCTTGATAGAGTTACCTCCTCCTGTCTACAGGTTGGGGTCATGATGGTGAACAAGTGTGCAAAGTTTGAAAGCCATATGTCAATGGACTTTGAAAATATTTGAACTATTACAAAAACTTTAACATAAGTGGTTACGCCGACGCCGACGCTCGGGTGACTGCAATAGCTCTACTTATTCTTATCGAATAGTCGAGCTAAAAAGGGACTAGTTTTAAATATCAAGTCTTACAGTACATTTTCAAATGCCCAACAGGTCTTCACTCCACATATTTTGATTTTTACATTTAAATCACATACATGTATATAAATATTATCGCATCTTAATATTTTAAGTTAACAAAGATATTGTTTTAAAGTATAATCAACACACTTTGGCCAAAAGATTCTTTCTCGAGGATTGGATTTGCTACTTTTCATGTAGATGTTTTTTCTTACAACTGATTTTCGCAACAACTTGCTTAAACTAGAACACGAATATACTAATTGTTATCCGTAGCAAATACTAACCCTTTTCTTACTTTTTCATTTACTACATTTATGATATTTCATTCAAATTTAAGAAGCATATTGCTGTACAAAAACCTGATCTTAGTATTCAAACATATCACAAATAAGCCATCAAAAATCTACTACTCAGAATATATGAAACAGAAAAATACTACCAACATTTGCTGTAATTTTTCTCTCCCACCCCACCTAATATGCGTTCACCATGACCAACAACATTTGTGTAATTCTACCAACAAATATGCACTCAAGTGTGCAATGGTTTAAATACGGAACAACAATACACATTCAACTGGAATATCAGCGTATGATATGGTTTGTTCTTAACTCTTTCTTCACTTTATAACCCTCTTTTTTCATCAACAGTGTACATGGTTACACCTTTAAAGTTTAACACCTCTTCCTCAGATAAACCTTCAGCCTATGAATTTCCTTATAGTAATGTTATTAATTCCTTGTACCCATAATTCTTTATCAATAAAGAAATTATTGGTATGACATATTGGTTGTTTTAGCAAGAGCATGTCATAACAAGATATCTAGAATTTCAGCCATCTGTGCCCTTAAGTTATCCATTAATTCAAAGATCACCTGAAGTCTTGAACACATGTCCATTTGTTTACCTCCTACTTTTAACACGGTTCTATTTACACATACAACACACCAGGTTTTTCACTTCCGATGATAGATAATCTTCTGGTATGTTGGTACAATTGAAATATCCTAGGAATTTAACAAAAGTAACAAATTAACCTATTCTTTAGAGCTGAATAGATACAAGTTATTTGTTGCTGCTACGGCCAGGATATTCTCTTGAGGATGCCAAGCCGAGTGGAGAATTTTCCTATTAAAGTCCAGGCAATCTACGCTAATCTCTTCCTTCTTTCGTTTCCCTCCACTACACACTTTACGTGGTTTTAAGACTGTTTTTGGTTTCACATTTTCACGACTCGCTTCCAATGTCACATCGCGTTTAGAGTCGCGGTCAAACATGCGAAAGAAATTGTTGTACGATCCAGTCATAATATGTCTGAAATAAATAAATACAATGGAAATGCAGGTAACTTGTATATGAAATCGGATCAAATTGCATAGTCTCCCTGCTTCAGAACGACTTTCTTATTATAAAATCCTACTAACTCCTGTTGTAATTACAATTAATTCAAATTTGTTTTGCAAAAATTCAGTTGATAAGACAGGACTTTCCAGCTTTAATACAATATTATTGTCTTTGTTAAAACAAATCATATATTTTTTTATAGCCTTCTTATCTTAGGTCTTTTTGTCCTCATATTGTGTAACCTTTGAGAAAACTAAACACAGGACTTTTAGAAACAATATTTCTATATATATTTGGGTTTCAAATCACACCAACATTTAAACGTTCCATCGCCAATATTTGAATTCTAACTTAAGAGAGAAGACCTTTTGGCTTTAGTGTCTCCCTGTGCATCATTTGGGCAATTGAATGAGTAGAGCCAATGACCTCTAGTATCCTAACTGGATAGAGGGTATGAATTTACATTGGTGAGGAGCAAGTTATTTCTGACTGGCAACCTCTCAACACTTTACTCCTTTCTTCCCAATTTATCACTTTTAAATTTCTTACCTATCATTTCCACTCCAAGCACATTCAAACTTGTCAAATATACAGTCATTCTCGTACAATGAACACAGTTTACTACGTAGATATTCGTGTACTTGAAATGTTTCTATAGGTTTAGAATCCATCTGCAGGTCCCAGACCTTCACAGACAGATAATCCCGTGTCACCATATAACGACCATTATGACTAAATTTTACATCTGATATACTGGATATAATCTCTGAGAAAAAACTTCTATTAGTTGGGTCCTCGGGCTCTTCAAACACTGAAATAAACAAATACTCCTTTTATACACAATTATTTGTCTAAGCTGAATTTGCAACTCCTTTATGTGCATTTCTCCATTTTATGCAATAAAAGTAGCTTTTTTACTTATCATGAAAACCATTTTCTTGCCATCAAAATAATATTGAATAAATTTTTGACATCATTGGGGTGATTCTGTACATCTACATACATGCATTGCACTTTCATCAAGCTATTGATAATTCTGTTTGTAGTTAACGGGGCAAAATAACAAACACTGTCCATCTTGCACGAGACCTACACTTTACTTTTCCTGTATGTATCATTGCACATAAACTAGATATACGTCAATGTACACAAATGTCTTAACAGGGTAATAATTAAAATATATTTCATAATCCATAGAACTCTAATAATTTGTCAGCAGTTAACGGGGCAAAATGACAAACACTGTCCATCTTGCACGAGACCTACACTTTACTATTCCTGCATGTATCATTGCACATGGACTAGATATATGTCAATGTACACAAATGTCTTAACAGGGTGATAATGGAAATATATTTCATAATCCTTAGTACTCTTAATAATTTGTCAGCAGTTAACGGGGCAAAATGACAAATACTGTCCATCTTGCACGAGACCTACTCGTTACTTTTCCTGTATATATCATTGCACATGGACTTGATGTATGTCAATGTACACAAATGTCCTTACAGGTAGGTTATTCATCACCAATGTTTAATGACAAAAATAAACACGAGGGTCGGAGACCATTTATTTCTCAAACATGAAACATAGATCTGCATCTGTTTTTTTTTCATGAAAAGTATTGTTTGCAGTTAACGGGGCAAAATGACAAACACTGTCCATCTTGCACGAGACCTACACTTTACTATGCCTGCATGTATCATTGCACACTGACTTTATCATGTCAATGTACACAAATGTCTTAACAGGTTGAACATTTATTCAAAAACAACATACCGGACTGAAAGACCAGTAATTTAAATAACACATACTGAAATAACACACAATGTTAAGAAGAAAATAAATGAAGTTTGTTTAAAATTTCATAATATTGAATAGACAAATCTTCTTGGAAACTTTACTCAATAAATGCTTTAATCGAAAACAAAACTGGTGCAGATTATCATGTTTAAAACGCTATTAATTTAATTCATATTCAGAAGCAATTTCTTCTGAATTAAAGTTAAATAGAAGGTACAAATAAACTAGCATAAAAATATTCCTGCTGGCATCACTACAAAGTAATTATACATACATCATTCAATGTACACAAAGGTCACAGTAAGATACTGATATCTTTCCCTATAAACAATAAACAGTGTAATACAAGTAAATATCAAAGAAATTCTCTAACAAGGCTTCCTCCGCTACAGATCAATTGCATTATCAATCAATTAAGCTAAAGCACAGCATCAAAATGTAAATCAATTTATACAGCTCAGTTAACAAGAATATCGGTAACATTGATGGATGCTTCCTTGATACTGCTTTCAGCCGAAACATATCCTGACAATGAAGTAAAAAAATGATATATTTTAACATCAAAGACCTTCAACCCATCTGATTATAAAATTTCCACCAAAAGATTTATGACCTGCCAGTGTGAGGTAACTACATTCTAAGCATCTCTATAAATAAATCTTGGATGCAACTTCCAACCAAATTACAAAAATCAATCGATATCAACACACCTTATTTATGAACAATTGTCAATAAGGTGTAAGTGAGGTAAGCAACAATAACTTGAATGACATTCTGTTTGCAGTTAACGGGGCAAAATGACAACCACTGTCCATCTTGCACGAGACCTACACTTTACTATTCCTGCATGTATCATTGCACATGGACTAGATATACGTCAATGTACACAAATGTCTTAACAGGGTAATAATCAAAATATATTTCATAATCCATAGAACTTTAATAATTTGTCAGCAGTTAACGGGGCAAAATGACAAACACTGTCCATCTTGCACGAGACCTACACTTTACTATTCCTGCATGTATCATTGCACATGGACTAGATATATGTCAATGTACACAAATGTCTTAACAGGGTCATCTTCAAGCCTCTGCCACAGATGTGAAAAGCAGATCATGCAAGCAATTTTACATATTGTTATTAAATTGTCAGTAATCATTGATTTGTACAGATTGATTCAAGCTTGCCTACTATGTAATGACCTCAAATGTATGCAAATATACTGAAATAACCCTTACTGGATTAATTTAGCAACAGGGAAAAAATTCAATATCACATTCTTTTATATCAAACTGATTATTTTAAGTACAGGCCAGACTTTTCCCTAAATTCAAAATATTATATTCTTACATTTGGCATGTTTGTCACATAAAGCTTGCTCCCTCATATCACAGAGTCGTATAGTGCCTTTACTGCTACTATATACAAACAGGTTACACTCTGTGGGATGGAATTCTGCGGCTGTTATGACTTCCGTCAGTTCCTCCATATTGGCTGGTTTTATATCTACTATATCTGTTATACAGTTAAGGAATATATAGCAAACTTATTATTTTCTGGGCCCTGAAAACTGCATAATGAGTCAGAATCTGTTTTATATCACACTGGCACATAAAAATTCTAAATAAATAGTAATTAATGCAAATACACGTCAGCAGACTTTGTAAAAACTGAACAAAATTGATGAAAAATGTTTCACAAAACTTGGCATTCCCGAAAACCACTTATTTTTATGTAATGTTAATCGGTAACTGTTAGTCATATTGAAATGAACAATCAGTCAGTCACCTCAACATAACATTTGCCAAAAGTATTAAAAGTTATTAAAAGATTTGCAGAAAATGTTGTCAAACATTTCAATGCAAGGTTCAACAGTGATACAACATAAAGCTTGCAAGATTGGCATGAAGAGTGTACAGCAAACTGAATAGTTTAAGGATACTAAAACTCTGATTTGTAACTTCTAAATGCCATAGATTGATGCGAAGGTCATCAGCAGACAGGTAGGTTTCCTGGTCACTGTTCACAGAGATAGAGTTGATGTGGTATGTATGAGCATTGGCAAAAATACGCCGCGGACTTGCCTCCACCAGTAGCTCCATCGGTTTGAAGCTTGGTACCCGTAATGATGTAATAGATGTTGGATCGCGCAGGAGACCAGCATCATCCTTCAAGTTGTACCCTTCAGCTCTTTTATCTCTTTCTGTAACTTTCCACAACTTGACTGTTTTGTCTGGAATGGAGATAGTATGACAGTGCAAGTTAGTCATCTTAAAATTTTAAAGGACTTAGGTCATAATAGCATCAAATATACAACAAATGTTATGACAAGTTGCTTTAATTTACAATGTATACGAAGTATACTATGACTATAGAACCTAACTTGACACACAACTATCTTTAATTAATGCTATGTGACCAATAAACTAAATCTTCGAGAATATTCACTGAAAATTACTCCAAAAATAGGTCTGAAAATAATTTATAAAGCATCATATTATTACTATGGTGAACTGTATTTTTATTTTTTTTCCTAAACAGGGAATACCATTTATTTTAAGTGTTTCCAAAATCATAACTAAGCAATACAATGAAAGCTTTTCTTCAGTAACAAATAAGCCATTATTAACTGAATGGATCTCTATCTATACATCTTCTAGATGTAGACTTAAAACGATACTGTAATCAACAACTTCTTAAGTTATAAAACAACAACTTCTTAATAAGTTATAAAACAAATCAAAATAATGCATACTCAATCAACAATACCCTTTTCTTCTTCATTCTGTTCTCAAATCTATTATATCAAAGCAGCAAAATTAATCAAAAGCAGCATGTGGCTAAAGAAAATCATTAAACTAACCATTAGTAGATAATAGGAAGTTGGCAGGGTTACTTCTTTTTAACCATCTAATCTTGTTAATTTTTTCTTCAATCTCTAAACTCTTCAGATAATCAAACTCGGGTTCATGACTCTGGAATGTGCTGTATACATTGTATTCCCCACGGGCTCCGGTAAACTGTGGATTACCCTGAAATAAACACACCCGCATATTTTATAAATTTTATGCAACACATCATTGTTACCAGTACTTCACACCACTTTATCTTGTATTTAAAACAGATTTGCTTCTTTTTTTTTTACAAATTAAATCATAAAAAAAACAGTATAGAAAATCCTACTGCAAACTTGAAGCCAAGTAGGGGAAAATAACTTAAGTTCAAGTTAATAGTGAAACAGGATGGAGTCACCCCGGGTAGAATGCATTAATTTTTTTGCAAGACAACTTGCAAACTTTGAACATTAACTAAAGAATTCATTGTAAAATAAAAGATGTAGTGAGGCAAGTTACACTGGTCAGAGAAAATGTAATTCCTATAAAGTGTATGTAACTAGTTTTCTATTAAAACATTTTTTCTTGAAATACACATTGCTTAACAAGTCTGAAAAACAGTCATAAATTTTCTAAAACTTAAGTACAAACTAGACATGCATTTTTTTCATAAAAAATAGGCAACATGCAAATGTAATTAATGTAACTTTTTCCTTGATTTTCAAGATTTTTACCTTGCCATCGCGCTGGAATATCACAACACGTCCTCCTTTATCACCTGTGGCTAACAACTGTCCATTACTGTTGAACTCGACACAGGAAATAATATCAGCTGAAAGACCAACCAACTAAAATTAAATCTAAAAATTTATATTCATACACAATTCCTGTTTTCAAATATGTCAAAATAAGAAACATTAGGCTCAAAGTCTCTGAAACAACAGTACTGTTTAAACAGCTTAGCAACAGTTGTAATAAGACTAATTAAGACGACAGAAAAATGTATACCTTAAAATTGCATCATTCAATTTACTGTATTATCAAGAAGGCAATTATCAGGTCTAGTATCATGCCCAATAATTGCATGATGCACAAAATAATATATGATACCATAGACTTTTATTACAGATATTATTTAAATAAAGCTCTGTGACGATAAACAGAGAGGTGTATTTGATAATGCACAAATCAAAATCAACCTTTCAGTTTCTAGCAAATCTTTTTGAACATCCATAATTTAACTATCTTAAGATTGACAGATCAAAGTTTAACAACTGCGTTTATTTAAATTGCCATACATGGCTATATCCTGGAACAGACCCTGGGTCTAAACTTATAATTTAGTATATAATATACAAGTTTTACTTCTGAAAATTTAAAATATACATTTAGAGGTCACAACTCTAATCCAGGAGATTGCCTTTGAATAATTTTGAACAAAGAACTTGGTTATTCCCGCAATTTACCAATCACGCTAACTGGATTTCTTATCTATCCCAAAATAATGTAAAGATTGCAGAGCTTCACAAAGTCATATTTCCCACTATTCCCAAGGAATCAGGGTCAGCTCTGCCCTAAAACATACTATGCCCTATTCTAATTCGGCACGGGTCAACTCGGCCCATAATTATATATTACTGGTAATGCTTATTATATGTTTTCATCATAACTTTCATTGTTTAACATTTTCATAGTAACAGGCTCAAGGATATTGAAAAGTTTTATAGATGAAAGTACCAATTTGTATGTGAATTTGTAGAAAGGAAGAATTTACAATTTATATGCATGTCTAATAGTTTTTCCTACTTCACATGGTTTTTTTTGTTAAAAATATAGTTCAATACAATTATATTTATTGTCATGAAAATTCAATCTAAAAACTTCATTCATGAATCAATATTTCACAAATATATGGTATTGATATCTCAAACGTTATTTCAAACAATACATATCGTATAAGTTTGAGAACTGGTTAGTCCACGATACATGTACAGTACACTGCCAACTTTATCAATTTCTATAAAATTTGTTAGTGATCGTACTTCTGAATACTTTTATATTAATTTACTCCTTCAATCTTAACAATCAATATCCTAACAGGTTTAACTAAAGGGCCCAGTTGACCTGTGCCGAGTTGGTATAGCCTATAGGGCCGAGTTGACCCTTTACCATTCATTCCCCAAGGGGTTGCAGGGTCGGAGCTGCAAATAAGACAGACCTGTGCATTTTTTATCAAGATGGGACAGCAATTAAACAACATCTGTATATATAATAAACACCATGAATCTCTGCCAATCAAAATAATTTGGCATTGCTTTTAAGAATAAAAAAATATTTTGTAAATTACAAGACTTTGCACCCGCTTCCGCAAAGCGGCTAGAAATTAAAATTTTCAGCGGAAAAATGTACGAATTAGTCACAAGAAAAATAATTATAGAATACCCTCGGTTATATCCTCTTCTATCGTTCCCTTAACCTGTGAGAAGCACCACTGAATCTCTCCACCATTGCCTACAAATAATCAAGCAAAAGATTAACAATTTTTTGACATAAAATAAAAATATGATAAGATACATTTTAAAGAATAAAATATTAGATCTTACCAGCCATTCCGGAAGCCAAAGTCTTTCGTGTGACTAAATAATAAGCTGTATCAAAGGAATTATTGTTATCTCTGATATTTACATCTTCCTGGTCCGCGATGAAGGCGGATTTTCTAACCTAATTTCTGAAACTAAGATTCAAAATGGCGCACTGAGGCTATGAGAATTTTGCTATGACGTAACAAAATTGGTTCCCGCTTTGAAAAAGAGAGTCAAAATGAAAGGTGGACACCAGCTTATATTCGGATCGCCTTTAGTTTATTGGTAAACTAAGAGATTCAGGGACGTAGCCAGATAGGCAGCAGCATTTATTGTTTTATTGTTTTAGTTTTAGTTCAGTTTTTTATAATATTTTATTGCAACTATTCTATAATATATACGTAACATGTAAGGTTACATGAATAATACAAAAACAAATATTCAAGTGACATCATGCCCAACAAAGTGTGTGAACAGATGAATATCAAAATAAGTTTTCATTTTGCCATATTAAAATTCCTTTTTATTTAATAATTAAGTTCGCATAAACAATACTAAAACGCAGAGATCGCAACAAAATTTCTGTAAAATCCATTAGAATTTACCTATAACGCTTAGTTTATAAAAAGAGTGGGACAGTCTTTTAATTTTAGATTTTAGGCAGAATTAGAATTTTAATCTAAACAGTTTTCATGATAGGCCCTATATCATATATATTTTGCCACAATGTGTTTTTATATCATATGCCAGACATCGAAGCTGCAGCAAGACTTAAATTAGGCCTATAAACATAAGAATGGTGCTCTTTCAATAAAAAGGCCAAAAGAGGTCACCAGAAAGGACAACATGTATGATAATTCGATAAAAAAATAGAATAAATTATACAGTACATGTATACATAGTAATATGATAATTGTGTGCACATTAACATTTGTCTACCTTAAAAACATATTTCGTTTGACAAAACTTTACAATGTTCTTATAGCTTGCTTAGAAAATATCCCCGTTGAAAGGAATTCAATTTTTTCGTACACCTGAAATGACAGGACTTATTTTGTTATGCTACAAACTGTAGGTTTGTGAAACTTCAATTATTAGGGGCGCTTTTCTTAAAATTTAGAAAATGATAATGCAACGATCCTCGTCCACGACAAAGTGTGCACAAGTTTTATAATTATACAATTTTAGTTAACTTCTAGTCCAATAATTCCTTGATTCCTTGATGATCAGCCCCTCTCCACAATCCAATAATAGAAAGAGATGGGATGGGGGAGGGGGGGGGGTGCGGCGGGAGCCGAGGTTCTGGAGTCTGCCGCCCAACCCGGCGATCGTCACGACTCAAGTACTGATAGGTTTCAGGAAGCGGACACGAAGGCAACTTGTTTCATTTCAGGCCTATTATTATAGTGTGTTAGTGCCGCAGAGATCCATCAAGATTAACTAGAACTATCACTAAATGTGATTAATACCCCCACAAGACTGTTTCGGAAATGAGGATGTTACTAGTAACAAATTACCTTGTACAAGAATTGAAATATAGAGTTATGGTTGTGGGCAATTAAAGATAGTTGTGGTTCTTGTATGTTGCATTTCCTTTCAGTGTGGTTGGCAATTGATGAAGTGTTATTGAATTACTCTGCAATAAGTCCAGAAAGACAAGGAAAAAGAACAAAGGGCAATAACTCTATAAATACTGAAGATGAAATTATGGTTATTGTACACTGCACTTCCTCTCATTGCACTTGACCATTGTATGAAGTTGTATTGAATTCCAACTACAAGTTTTCAAGTTATGCACAGGACAAAAAAGTAACAAAAGACAATAACTGTAATTAGTCCAAATATAGTTATGGTTCTTGTGCACTGCACTTCATCTCACTGCCCTTGACCATTGTATAAATTTTCATTGAATTCCAACCATTAATTTTCAAGTTATGCACTGGACAATAAAAAGTAACAAAGGACAATTTTTTTTAAATGAGTCAAGAAAGAGCTATGATTTCTGTACATTGCACTTCCTCTCAATATACTTGACCATTGTATGAAAAGTATTGAATTCCAACTAGAAGTTTTCAAGTTATGCTCTGGACAAGAAAAAAGCAATGGAAAAATAGCAAAGGGCAATGACTCTATAATTACTCTGGACAGAGTTATTGTTCTTGTGCACTGCACTTCCTCTTATTGTGCTTGATCATTGTATGAAGTTGTTTTGAATTCCAACCAGTACGTTTTAAGTTATGCTCCATACAAGGAAAAGTATCAAAGGGCAATAACTCTTTAATTTGTCAAAATGGAGTTATGGTTCTTGTGCACTGCACTTCCTCACAACTGTATATTCCAACCAGTAGTTTTCAAGAAATGGTCCGGACAAGGAAAAGTAACAAAGGGCAATAACTCTGTAATTAGTCAAGATGGAGTTATGGTTCTTGTGCACTGCACTTCCTCTCAATGTGCTTGACCATTGTATGAAATTATATTGAATTCCAACCATTAATTTGTCTTAAAGTTATGCTCCGGACAAAAAAAGCAATGGAAAAGTAACAAAGGGCAATAACTCTTTAATTAGTCAAGATGGAGTTATGGTTCTTGTGCACTGCACTTCCTCTTATTATGCTTGACCATTGTATGAAGTTGTTTTGAATTCCAACCAGTAGTTTTCAAGTTATGCTCCGGACAAGGAAAAGTATCAAAGGGCAGTAACTCTGTAATTAGTCAAGATGGAGTTATGGTTCTTGTGTACTGCACTTCCTCTCAATGTGCTTGACCATTGTATGAAGTTATATTGAATTCCAACCATTAGTCTTCAAGTTATGGTCCAGACAAAAGAAAGCAATGGAAAAGTAACAAAGGGCAATAACTCTGTAATTACTTTAGATAGAGTATTGTTCTTGTGCAATGCACTTCCCCTTATTGTGCTTGACAATTGTATGAAGTTGTTTTGAATTCCAACCAGTAGTTTTCAAGTTATGCTCCAGACAAGGAAAAGTAACAAAGGGCAATAACTCTGTAATTAGTCAAGATGGAGTTATGGTTCTTGTGCACTGCACTTCCTCTCAATGTGCTTGACCATTGTATGAAGTTATATTGAATTCCAACCATTAGTCTTCAAGTTATGCTCCGGACAAGGAAAATGCAACGGACCGCTGGACCGACCGACCAACCGAACGACCGTCCACCGGGTGACTCCTATATCGATCCCCCCCTCCTCCAAAAAAAAAAAAAAACCCAAAAAAACTTCGTTTCGGGGGTATAAAAAGCAAACATCCATCCAATTGCAAGTAACAAGCAATTTGTAAAACAGCAATCAAATTTAAGGGAAAAAATAAAGTCTCGGTTTGTTGTGTATGTTCATGAGAAGACTCATGAGACGTCGATTTACATACTATGCTTTGGTCATATCTAGGTGGTCGATCAACCTAAACGGTTTACCTGGGTAACTAACCATGCAGTTATTACAAATTTCTCCCCTGGTCACCGACTTCTACTATCAGCGGCGAGAGACAAATGACCATTATGTCCAGATATCCACTGTCCTGGTGAAATATTGCCACGCCCGAGGATCGACCCAGCGGCCCATGGGTTACTTATCTGATGCTCCCCCTAATGAGGCTAGCGTATGGACTATAATAAGTCTCGTGTACATGTATGAAACAATGATTATATTTAAGCATTTAATATATATTACTAACCTTTGCTCATTGTCTTACAAATTTATAATCTATCCTTTATGACCATACTATACATTAAATGTCCCTTACATATACATTAATTTTACACTCGTATAATCATTTTATCGTATTGTTTGGCAATATTGACCTGAAACTGATTAATTTTCGGAAACCTTTTCGTTAGTTTCCGTAATTTATCAAGTTTTACTAATTGATTTTTAATGAAAGCAAAGTTCTTGATACTTTAATCCGATGGCCTAGTGAAATATGACAGCATAGCAATCACGAAGTTGCGAGTTCGAATCCTAAACAAACTTTTTTTCAGATTTCATTATTCAGTTTTTAAAATTATGTGCAGCATAAGTGAATGAATCATTTAATTTCTGGTGTCTTTTCTTTTTAAACAAAATCATAACTTTGATGTATAGATGTATATGTAATTTCTCATAATTTCAATTTGTACAGTCATACAAAGTATATACTTTTTCTTCTTTTTTATTCACTTTTGTCATTTAATTTGTCTTAGTTTCTTATTGTTACAAAGTCTTTTGTTAATTGTGTTTGCTAATCATAATAAAGCTTTAGTAATGTTATGTTTTAGTTCTGTACATCTTGTACATCTTTATTATGTGATTATATGCCTGTAAAGGCCCATAATTGGAATAAAATTTATTCTATTTTATTCTATTCTACAAAGGTGATTAGCATGCACAAAAACTTAGTAGTCAAGTTTCGCAAAATATCATAATAACAAGGGTATTATTTACTTCTATATCGATTTGTTTTGTAAGGCATAATTTTATTGTACAAAAAAACAACAACATTTTTCTAAAACAAAGTACGGTCACATGCATCATTTCTTAAAATTATTTCTCACATTAAAAATACGATTCATTTTGTGTTATGTTTTGCTCTGAAATACTACAAACATGTTATGTTTTATAATACCATCTCCAACCAAAACCACATGCACTTATCAAGGTAGGGAAACAAACAATTACATATCATTTGCCTGGAAGAAAAAATTGACATCTTAGGAACACATATATTTGGCCTTATATGTTTTAAATAAAGTGTTTTAGGTATACGTTACTTAGTTTTTAACGTCTTAAGCACTGATAAAATATGTTTACAATGGTGACAGGCATATTTCATATAGATAAAAGCGTAAATAAGAGAACATGGGCGTTAATAATTATAATGGTAAGTTTTTTTATGACAGTCTATTAAAGTCCCATTCAAGAAAGGCATCTCCGTATAACGATTTAAAGGCCCGTTATGCCCCAGAAATGTTTTTATTTTTACTTCTCAAAAAGTTTTTTTTTAATTTTATTCCAAAAAGTTACCCATTAGCCAATTACCTGAACCATCTTTTGCTTCTGTTGCTTTTTGACAAATAGTAAATATATAGTGATTAAGTATTGTATGGAAATCAAAATACTAATTTATTTACATTTTGCTACTTTCATATCAGATAATTTCACATTAAGAGATACTTTCTTCAGACAAGAAGCATCTAAATGCTGTAAAATGCT